TGGAGGTGAAACCGAATCGAACCCTCCTAAAGAAAATCCAACAGAAAAATATCCTACTCCTTCTGAACCTCCAGTCAACAAAGATGGTGACAAAGACAAGTCTGAGAGTTCCACCTTGGACACTGGATTATTAGCCGAAAACTATGCTGATCCATTTGCCCTGTTGGAACTCCGAGACAACATTACTGCTACTATTTCAAGGTGGAGTGCCTAGACAAATGGCACAACTCGATTCCAAGATTGATGCCAAAGTCTCCAGCCTCGACACCAAGCTTGACACTATCCTCCAGTCCTTGTTCGAAGTACAGAAACATGGGCCCTCAGATGCTGAAAGAGAAAAAACAACTAAATTAGCTTATGTCCTTGCAATTCAAGCATACATTGGAAGAGGTTGAGCAAAAGTACAACTCTAGCCTTGATCACCATATCGACATCGCCTCTATAATGCTGAAAATTGATGAAGACATGATGAGTGCCACAAAAGAAGTGATCAAGAAAACCCATGTCCGACATGAAAAGCAAATCAAAGGTTGGAGAAGGAAATCTGAAAGAAGGATGTACACAATCTTATCATGCAACAAGTCTAAATCAAACTCATTTGACCTTCTTACAATATACTTAATGATCCAAACAAGAAGCTCGACCGGATGCTCTTTATCCTTGCCTCCCTATTTAATCACTTGAAAAATCAAGCTCCTACAGACGAAGCCAATGATGCCCTTATAAAGAAAATGAACATGAACTTCCAAAAGGTGTTCGATAGGCTCTCTGAAGTCAATGAATCAGCCAAACTTGTCTCGGAAGTTGGGACATCCAATACAAGTGGGGGAGAAGTACCAAATAGAAGCAGTCATACCATTTCTCGGAAACCTACCTCAGAGTTTAATCTCTTAGATGAATATGACGATGATGAAATTTAGGTTTTGTCCACAGGTATCCCATCAGATGATGATGATGATGAAGTCAAGTATATCACCAATGTCGTGGTTTGAATTCAAGCTCCAAGAAACTTTCCGGCGTAAATTCTTTAAGAGGACGAGAGAAGGATCTAGTTTGCTGTTACCTGCCCATCATCCTTGTCAGATGTTCTTCAACGAAGCCGTGAAATGGCCAAAAAGAAAACCAAGCTCACACCTGACGCATTCGAAGCTACTCAGTCCATGTTGCCTCCTAGTCTCTCTCTAACAATAGTTCCCATTGATGAAGGTTCTCCTATTCAGAAACCTGATGACATCCCAGAAGAGCCTCTGATTCCTCCACCACCAGAGTTCACTATTTCCAAAGACATTTAACAAGTCATTTCTGACTTGAACAAACAACAACAATCCGAGATCAAGCTGTTCCAAGATAGAAGTCTGTTTAATCATTTAATGCATTTTGTCTTATTATTGATGTAACAATACATAGGACTTTCTTTTATGTATCTTTTCGATATCAGTTTGTCAAACACTGATCATTATCCAGTCCTAGGAATGTTTCTCAGTTTGTACTATGTTCATCCTCCACTATATAAGGAGTGAATGTCTTCACCATTAATGGGCAAGTGAACAAGTCAAAGTTTTACACTAAGAATAGCAATTATTATCTTCACATCATTTTCACTTTTCCTTCAAGTCACATTTTTTCACAACATTCTTCTTGTTCCTAAAATATCTTTGCATTGATTATACTCTAAGTTTTCTTAATTTACTAATTGAATACTTTGTTGAATATCTCCGACAAGTCTTAATTAGTATTACCAGATTCGACTAGAACCTTACATTAAGAGTAGACATTGATATTAAAGATTAACTCAAGGTTTGAGTTTTCAAACCTTGTCCTTGAACATTGATTACTTGTATTCACACTTTCCCTTATAATTTTCTTATTCATTAGGGTTGTAGTAATTTTGTTTAATTCAAAGTATGTTGCCTTTTTGTGAAAGACATATATCATTTTAGGTTGCATGTGCTCAAATTCTTAATTGTTAAGTATTTTCCACTTTGAGTATTATTGTTGTAACCTATATAACCCATTAAAAAGATGCAATATAACCTAGAATTCAAGAAAAGTTTCCAAATCATCACCATTTCCTGGATCTATGAGATATAATATTCATGGGACATAGAGAAACCATAAAGTTGCAAACTTTATCTCTTTAACCCACACAAACCACCTTAAATAGACCATAATATGCCATAAAACCTAGATCTAAGAAGAAAGACATGAAAAGATGGAAACTTGAGCAGTTACAAAGGCTTCAGAAGATGCACAAAAGTGAATGTATTGTATCAAGGCACTAACTCTTCTTCTTCTTCCTTCAAAACCACCAAGAACTTGCAAAATGAGCATAAAAGCTTCCAAACGGATTAGGTTTGCAAAAGGAGTCGTTTGAGAGTGATGGATGCTGAGGGTGGAGGAATCCGTAGCTTAAACTTCCTTTAAATAAGGCTTAAAGTCCAGAAATTAGGGTTTTGACCCAAAATAGTCGTCACGGTGTAGCCACTTAGTGCCATGTCATGACAACCAATTAAAACACGCAATCACAAATCAAATTGTCACGTCGTGGTGATGTCATCACCACGTTGTGGCAACCAAAATTCTCATATACAAATAAAATTCATACCCTCGGGATCCAAATATTACATTAGATGATCATGCTATTTATTTAATTGACTAAAGACAATATAACTATTAAAATTATATTTACCTAAAACTTAGAAGTATTAATTAAGTACTCATAAATTATACTTAGTGATTTGGTCTTAAATAACATTTTCTTGGAATGTGAATAGTTGTAATATTAAATTAAAACTTCAATACAGTTGATTATTTTTCGCTATATTAATGTAGTTCAATATATATATATATATATATATATATATATAATATATATATATATATATATATATATATATATATATATATATATAATTTTGTTGATCACATGAAAATACATATTATACTAACAATTTTGTCGATTTTACTATAGAAACTCAATAATTTTCAAATGTTTTCTAATAATAGCTGTTAATTACTTTATTAAATTGAGATAAAACAAAACATATGAAACTTTCTACGTAGACATATTTTCTTTTATAGGTATTATATATTAAGTACAAAAACATATATTAGATATAAAACATCCACCAAAATATTATTTGCTTTAAATAACTTTCACATACAATCGTGATATGGACAAAAAAAAATATAAAAGTGACAATGAAAACTTATAAAATACCCAATTATAAACTTAAATATATGAAATTTAAAATCGTAAATTGTTCAAGATTCTAACTTAAATATTAAATCGTGCATTATTTAATATTTCAAAATATTTTATTCTTAAGAAAAACAAATTCCATGGAAAATTGCATATTTTTTCATTAATATTTTATAAATATTGATGTGAATACACGAACACGAACAGATCCATTTCGTAAATCATTCAATATGATCATGTACTATTTATTTTTTCAATCTACTATAATAAATGAAGGTTTTTTTTTTCCCACATGTCATCTTCTCCTTCATTTGGACACATGACATTTTCTAACATTTTTAAATTTTCTATTTTCCACTTGTCATTTTATTGCATTTTTCATTTTATTAAATTAAAATTCTACTTTTAATATGTAAGGTAATATATAAGTAAGGTATTTATTAAAAAGGGTTTATATATGTAATGTATCCAATACATTAAAGTCTTATTAATTTTAATAATTCAAAAAATTTCTCATTTTTTTTATAAATTCAAACTTTTGAAATTGTTAAAATTTTATGTTTAATTTTTTTTTAAATAAACCCATGTAATACATGGGTCTCACACCTAGTTTAAAAATAAAATAAAATTTCCGAAAACAACTTATTTAAGTGAATAAAGACATTTTATTTATTTATCTAAACACTACCTATTATTATTTACCAACTATACTACTTAACAACTATAAATGTTCAACATTATTTAAATCTAATTTAATTAAGGTCCTTAAAGTCTAATTATAATATAATTTTTTAAATTTCTTTCCTTAGTATACTTTTTTTACAACTAATTCTATAAATACAAATATCAACAATCACATTTTCAATATACCTAAATGTGATAATGTATTTTAACTAAATATAAAAGTTAAATTCTAGATCCAATAAAAAAGACAAATTTAAGGAGTTTTTATCCATATTAGTGTTATACATAAAACTATTTCTCATTCTAGTATACATTCAAAACTATTTACCTTATTAGTATTATTTTGAATTTAAAACAATTATTATTGTTTTTTATGATTAAAAACAAAAAAAATAAAAATAAAAAATAACGCTCCCTACATGCTGGAACGGAACAACATACAGAAAAAAAAAAAAAAACCGAAAACAGGCTAGGGCTTCAATCGTCTTCTTCAGCCAACGGCTTCATCGCTATAGCCAGCCGCCTGTGGCTTCTTCCTCCTACACTGGCCACCTACCTGCAACCTTTTCTGCCCGTCGCCGCCCTCCTACCGCCTCCATAAACTCGCCGGTTTCAAGGTATGCAACCTATTTTCCTTCTCGTTTTTTGTAGTTTTTTTTGTTAAATTCACTGCACTCTCATTTTTTCTTGATTTTGATCATTCTCTACCGAATTGAAGATCAAGTTCTGCATTTGTTTCATTTTTTTGTATATGTCACAGCTTGTTTTTTGATGTTTTTATATGGAATTTATTTCAATTTTTACTTATGTTTCTTTTTTCTTGTTGTCATAGATAATATGATCAATTTTTGATCAGTTGTTGTTTCTTTTTTCTTGTTGTCATAGATGATATAATCAAATTTTGATCAGTTTTTGTTTCTTTTTTCTTGTTGTCATAGATGATATAAGCAATTTTGATTAGTTTTTGTTTCTTTTTTCTTGTTGTCATAGATGACATGATGAGTTTTTTGATTAGTTTTTGTTTGTTTTTATTTGTTTTGTAGATGAATTCTATTAGTTTTTTATTAGTTTTTGTTTGTTTTTATTTGTTTTGTAGATGAATTCTATTATAGACATGATTGACAATGATGATTTTTCTATAATCTCTCAAGCTGTTGTTATAACTAATATGATGAATATAAACAATGAAACTGAGTTACATGAAAATTTGGAAGATGAAATTGGAGAGGAAAATGATGAAGAAGCACCTTTTGACAACAATGTTGAAGTACCTTCAACTTTTACTAATATGGAAGGAACAAATTTGAATATTGATGACAATTGGACTGTGTCGCAATCAACGAGTAAGAATGATTTCATACAAGAGATGAGAAAAGATTCTTTCAAGGATAAAGAAGAACTTGTTAGAGCAATGAAGATCCATTGCATTAGGACACATAAACAATTTGAGGTCATTAACTCACGCCCAACTATTTTTACTCTAAGATGCAAGTTATACTTACAATCTAGTTGCAAATGGAAACTTCATGCAAGTAAACGTAAACGTAGTGGATATTTTGAAATCACAACTTATACCGGTCCACATACTTGTTTGCACTATAAGCTTTCTCAAGATCATCCGAACCTAGATGCAAGCTTGATTGCTATGGAAACTAGGCACCTTATAAAAGCACAACCTTCTATCAGTATTCCTGCTTTGAGAGCTGAAATAGTTGAAACACTAGGCTATACTCCTTCATATAAGAAGGTTTGGGTTGGAAAGAAAAAAGCAATTGAACATGTGTTTGGAAATTAGGAAGAGTCTTATGTCGCTTTACCAAAATATCTAGGTGCACTTCAAAAGTTCAATCCAGGAACTATTGTTGAATGGTGTGTTTCAAGATCAACCGATGTAGATGAAGTTGAATTTAGGCGTGTTTTTTGGGCTTTTTCTCCCTCTATCAAAGGGTTTCATTATTGTCGACCGGTGATTAGCATTGATGGTACACACTTGTATGATAAGTACACGGGTAATATGCTCATTGTAATGGGAGTTGATGGTAATAATCAGATTTTGCCACTTGCATTTGCTATTGTAGAAAATGAATCTTATGATACTTGGAATTGGTTTCTTTCTCATATCAAGAATCATGTGGTGAAAGACCGTGAAGGCATATGTCTAATATCTGATCGTCATGGGAGAATCCTTAAGGCTGTCAATGAGCATGGATCTCCATGGTTAGAGCCACATGGTTTTCATAGGTATTATTATATTTCTTAATTATTCTTTATGACATTTCAATAACTTGCTTCATTAACTTACATTTTTTATTTATTTTAAAGGTATTGTTTACGACATTTCATCAACAACTTTTATGACAAGTTTCGTAATTCAGAGTTGAAAGCTTTAGCTTATTGTGCCGGGAGTCAAAATCAAATTCGAAAGTTCAACTCCATCATGGAAGAAATTGGAAAGCTAAATCTACATGCTCGACATTGGTTGGAGAGCCATCCACTTAATAGATGGACACTTGCATATGATGGTGGCAGGAGATATGGGTTACTCACAACAAATTTGTCAGAGATTTTCAATAGTGTACTTAAAGGTGCTCGTTTTTTACCAATCACAACTTGTGTGCAACTTACATTCTATAGAATGGTGCATTATTTTGAGGTGAGACGTCCTTTAGGATCTAGTTCTCAAGCTAATGGAGATGCACATACTCCACATGTTATTGCAAAACAAGTAACTTTGATGGCAAAAGCAAGTGCACATTCCTTGAGATCTTTTAATCGAGAAAAAGGTATATTTGAGTTCATAACTCAAAGAGGTCGAAATGTGCAAGTAGTTAATTTGGAACAAAAAACTTGTACATGTGGTAAGTGGGAGGCATTTAAATATCCTTGTTCTCATGTCTTGAGTGCATGTGCCAAACTCTCTTTGAATAGTTGGCAATATGTTGATAAATGTTACTCGATTGTATATTATTGTGCTACTTGGGCATCTGAGTTCTCCTCGCTTCCTCATGAAGCATATTGGCCACAATCACCATTTAATGAATTACTTCCAAATTTAGAATTATTACGGAATAAAAAAGGTCGTCCTCGTTCAACAAGATTAAAAAAAGGTATGGATATTAAAGAAGGAAGAAATGCCACTCTTTGTGGAATTTGTGGGCAATCAGATCATAATAAAAAACGGTGTCCGTCTAAGCCAAGGTAATTAAACATATAATATTTTTTTATGATATTGTTGTGGCTATTCTCTTATTTTATTTTATTTTTTTAATCGTTTTTACAGGTAAGGATCTGTTACCAGTTCAAGTTCAAATTAATTGTGATGTTTTTCTTTTTGTAACAAACAATATTGGAGTTTTTTTTTTTTTAAAATTGTGGTGTTTTTCTTTTTGTAACAAACAATATTGGAGTTTTTTTTAATTGTGGTGTTTTTTTTTGTATCAAACAATGTTGAGTGTTTTTTACCTTAAAAACATTTTGTTTGTAATGTTGGAGTTTTTACATCTTAAAATATGTTGTATGTTTAATTTTATGATGGCTAAAAGATTGTATGTAAAAAAATAAATATTTAAAATAAAAAACAAAAATAAAAAATATAAATATAAATTTTTATTTAAAAAAACACTAAAAGTTTGAAAAAAAATTATTATTTAGAAAAACAGTAAAAATGTGAAATAAAAAAGAAATGGAGAAAAGTTGGATATATTTAAAATAAAAAAACATTAAGAAAAGCTGAAAAATTAAACAAAAATAAAAAAATACTAAAACTGTAAATAGTTTTAAATGTATACTAGAATGGGAAATAGTTTTGTCTATAACCCCTACTATAGATAAACTCCAAATTTAAACCATAAACTTGATCTATAATAAGTTTGATCTTAATTGGCAACCAAACAATCCAAAATAATATCAATGAACAAACATTATAGGATATTATGTTGTATCCAAATCACCAACACCATTTTTGAAAGGAGCATTAAAAATATATCAAAGTTTAGTGCTTAATACAATAATATAAGAACCAAATGCTGTTAACGTATTTTAAATGATATTTAATTATTTTCAACTTCAAAAAATGACGTTTAATTATATTATATAAGCTATGTAATTAGATTTATGTGAAATATGCATGGTTTTTAGGGGTGTGTATAGGGCGGTTTCGTTCGGTTATTGGTCAAAACCGAACCATAACCATTATGATTGGTTAATGCATTTTGGTAGCCGTTGGGTATGGTTAATATTAGTTAACCATAATGTTCAAAATAATGTAAATGACGAAAGTATAGTGGCATAAAAAATGAAAAGAGAATACAAAAAAGTCATTGGGACCAATGTTTGTAACCTAGCTTTATTAATAGAATAAAATGTGTACCTTTGATACTCGGAGTGAGATAACACATAGTCATATTCAAAATAAAAAACATTCAATAAAAATATAAAACATTAAAAAAAATTGACATAAATAATTTCATATATTAAGAGTTGATATTAACATTAAAATAAAACCAAATATTCATACATGTTCAATGCGATTAAATCAAAACTATAAGATAAAATAGTCAAACATTCATATTATGTGTTATTTGGATAAAAAAAAAATCAATCACTCATATACACTAAATGTGATTAAGTCAAAAACAATAAAAAAAAAAATACATTCTTAATATATCATAAAATCCAGAAGAACAAAAAACTTAACTTACCTAGAAGTTGTGATCATAAAGTAAAAAAATCTTTCAAAAAGAACTATAAAGTCAAAACAATTTTTTATTAGGATTAACGGTGTGGGAAGCATTCCAATTAGGATTATGAGTGTGAAGATTAAACTAATGCTAAATAATGTTTAAAATTATAGAATTAGCCAATTAGGAAGTACAACATTAATCAATAATCTAACTCAATGCATGATTAGAAGATTGTGTGTGTCTGTGTGATATGTGTGATCAGCCTTTGATGGTTTGATTGTTCGTTCGTCTCCTAATAAGTGATGATTAATGAATTATATTTTGAAAATTTAATGGATCTTAAATAAATTTGATTATTGTTTTATATATAATCTATAATTTTTATATATTAATATATAAAGTTAGCGATTCGGTTAATAATGAATCGTTTAAGCTATAAAACCATAACCGAACCGTTAGTTATTGATTAACAAAATTTAGAAACCGAACCAACGGTTTTTAAAATGGTTCGGTTATATTGGTTAATTTGGTTTTGGTTCGGTTTTTCGGTTATTATGCTCACCTCTAATGGTTTCACCCATTTAGTATATATGTATCTCTTAATAGATACTTGATAATTCCATCTAAAATAAATGAATAACTTAAATCATTTTGGCAAAAGTAATTCAAGGAACAAATGACTCAAATAAATTGTGCCTGTGCAAAGCAGTGAGGGCGAACAATTTTTGAGCGGTGATTAATTCATTTCAGTAATAATTTCCTTGCAACTATCTGATCAAACCATAAAAATCATTAAATATTAACCGATTTACAAAACATAAATGGCCAAATTAAAAAGAAAAGGAAAAAAATAAATTACATAGCAAGAGCTCATTTACAAACTGATGTTAATGAATAATTTATCTCGAGGAAGACTTTATATTCCAAACAATAAGTAGCAAATGTATATGGTTAGTTTTGTGGTTTTTGATTGTGCTCTTTTAATATATTAATAGATTGTGAAAAAAATTTAGAGGATCTTTTGTTTGTTGTAAGGATTACACATCATATGTCCTTTGGTAATAAATGAATCGATAAAGATTTTCATTGGAATGCTTTTTTTTTTTTTTTTTTTTTTTTTTTTTTTTTTTTTTTTTTTGGTCAAATAGGAGGTTTACATTGTTAAAAATTAAACAATTTAATTAACCTTCGAACATAATTGAAATTACAAATCTCTCTAATTACTATGCATCAATAGTCATGTGATACAATAAGTTGGTTAAAATGTATGTGCTACAAATAAACATTTGACTGATGTTATGTTATGAGAAAACCAGATACGTATTATATAGTTGCATATTTTGATATTAGAATTTCATAATTTGTATGTAAATCACTTTATTTCATATATGAGAAAGATACATACAACCAAAATATTGAATTTTCTAAACTAAGATATATACCTATTGTAACATCTTTTCTGTAATTTTTGTGTGGCAAATTTTTAAACAATCCAAGTTAAGGATTCGTAGGGGCAACTTGTGATGAAACGTATCTCTGATCATTGATAATACTTTCTAGTCATAATGTGTAATAGTCATGTCATTTTATATGAAGAGTTACATATTTGTCTATATTAATTTTGAATTAAAATGATAAAAAAAAAGTATCATGTTTATGTACAAATAAACCTTCTGAGCTCCAGGTATGACTCTCATGTAGCAATGCTGGTTCAACAACATAGGTTCAATGATTTATCTCATTTTTGCAAGTAGCAAATAGTTCATTTGTTGTGATTGTCTTCCTTTAAGAAATATCTGATGTTGCAAATAAACACAAAATATATCAACGTGTATGTTTATATATCTTCGATGTATAATCATAGTTGTTTACGAGTGTAATGTGGTGTGCTATACACTACTTCGAGTAAATCTGATAGATACATGTAACTGATTCGTTATTAGTTTTCAATTGTTATAATAAATATTAACAATTTATGGTTAAAAGTATTTTGTTGTTAGTTTAATTTAATGTTTTCCTTTATAATGACAAAAAATTGTAACGACTGTTCCAGGTATTGACCAATTTATATGAATTCTTGGGTTTTGTTCATGGAATCGGCGAGTTGGATGCTCCAACTCGTCGAGTAAAGACTAGTATGAGGACACGGGTTTGGGATCTACTCGACGAGTCGGAAGGCCCGACTCAACGAGTAGGAGATGTAAAGAGAAACCCCTAATTTTAGGGCTTGCACCCTATTTAAGGAACATAACCTGCCTCTTGTGGTCTCCCTTACCACTTCATCAGCCAGATAAAACCCTAGAGTGAGAGAAAGAGATTTTGTGAGTAATTTTGGTGTGTTTGTGAAGGATTTTAGAGTTTGAAGAAGAAGGAGTAAGGAGAGAAGCAGTAGATCCAACATCTACACTATATTGGCCACCATCTTGAGGTGTAAATCTGTCACCTTGAGCTCTAGTTGCTTAGATCCCTTTTCTTGGAAGTAAATGGCCATTTTTAAGGCAAAAGGAGCCAAAAGTTGGATCTATACCTATCACAAGGATATGGTTCCAGATTTGTACCCCATTAGGTCCCCAATGGCATAAAGTTGTTCACTTTACATAGTTTAGCCCTTTTCCATGCACAAAAACCTTGTAAAGAGCCTAGTTTTGATGTTTTTGCCTTAAAGGGCCTTGCATGCACGTAAAGTTTTCAACATTACGTGGTATCTGCACCAGGAAAGTTTGGATCTGGAGTTTAGGGCATTAGATCCCACTGAAAAGGGCTGAACATAAAAGGGACTGAAGGAACTCGTTGATTTCCTTATCTGACTTGACGAGTCGAGCACGGTTTTCCCGTTTTCGGGATCCAGAGTGATTTTGGTGAGGGATTAGAGTTTTCGGTTACTACGATTTTTTGGTCTGCTTGAGTTTGTGGCCTTTAGGACATTGAGGGACTCGACGAGTTACATAGGTAACTCGGCGAGTTGAAGGGTTACTCGGGTAACTTGACGCGTTGCTGGGTACACTCGACGAGTTGAGGTCAACATGGACTGTTGACCAGGGTTGACCTTGAAGGTATTTATGATATTCTGGGATCGTGACAAGTTAATTACATGATGAATATAAGCGGTTGAGTTGGAGTAGCAGGTGGGATATATTGGAACTTAGCTTGTCAGTTAAGCATTGGAGAGATAAGTCTTCTCACCATACTAATGGGTCTAAGGCACCAAGGCCAGCCCATTTTACGATATGTGGATTGTCGGTTGTTTGTGCATTATGTTAGTATGGCATTGTGTGGAAGACCCCGGGGGGTTCATGTGGCAGTAGGCTAAGACCATGTGGGGGTTGCCATGGCATTTGATATAAGACCTTGGAGGGTTTTCATGGCATCCTAGTATATTTGCATGATTATATGTATGATATTTTCTTGGTAGGAAGAATATGTGGGGGTTCCCATGGTAAAAAGACCATGTAGGGGTCCCCATGGCAGAAAGACCATGTGGGGGCTCACATGGCGAGAAGACCATATTGGGGTTCCCTTG